TTTACCAGGCCCCTACATGAATTCTGATGCAGATCAGACTGAAGGTTAGGCACAACAGTGAAAGTTTATCCAAAATCCATGCAGCAGATCCCACCATCACTGCACTACTAGATGCTGCTGGGAGACCCGGCTTGCCCAGGCACATGCTCACATCCTGATAAACAATTGCTCATATTACACCATACCTCAAAACACTGACTCTCAATTTTTCTGTATCATAATCTCATTTTGCTGCCAGATTGCCCCTCACTCTCCATTCTGACATCCAGTCTGAGCATCCATACCAAAAGCAAAAGTAATTTTTGCAACTGGAGCAAAAAATTTAATATGGACACATATACCACTACTCCTGCTGTGTCCTTGCTCACAGCTCATTCTGAGCTGTACCTTTTTTTGAAAATCCCAGTTCTTCATAGTTCATATATACATGCAAAACCACAGTTTTACAAAGAATGAACAAATACTGAAACAGAGGAAGAGAAGACCCATTACAAAATCATGTTCGAGAAGCAGCAAGGAAAACACTACCATGTGCTTAGGGGAGAGCAAAAACTAAAAGGGAAGAACAAAGAGAGGAATTTGGAATAAGGAAGAAAAATTTAAGAAGCAGCTACTGAACAAGATACTAACTGTAAGAGATATGTACTTGTTCACAGCTGCTGACAGGAGAAAGTTTTTAGACCATTTTATGCTGGTTGCCAGACTTAAGCACACAGATTTTCCACTGGCTCAAAACTGATCTACTGGAGTCTGGCTGGTTTTGGAACCAACAATCTCAACACATCACAATCACTTTTGCGCAGGGTGAAGAACTAACTAAAATGCCTTTCTTTGTCCATTCTGTCAGCAGATCAGTGATCTCACTGTCATGAAAACAGCTGCACTGAGAAGCCCAATGAAGAAATACTGCACAAACCCACGGTGGATGGAGCACCCCACGCGTCTTTGTGCAATTCTAGAGGGCTTGGCTTTGGGATCACTGTCCAGGTGCCGAGCCAGCTCACATGGGCAATGTCAGCACGTGTAGGTATCCAGGCCAATGAACTCTTGGTTTGATGCTAAGCTTCTAATTTTTTCTCGCTCTTGGGGTGTTTTCGTACAACGCGTCCCCCTATACCGCCATCATCCAAAATTTCTCACCCCAATTACCACAGATAATTGACTGCACATAACCTGAACAATCCATCAGAAGTTTCTAGTTTACCTCTGCCACAAAGGACAAAGTTACATTTCCTAATGAGAAATGCACATACTATTAACAACTCTGAATACTTCCTTGGCAAAATTGGTCACAAAGGATTCCAGTGTGGAGTAGCTTAACTTGTGGCTGAATTCAGAGGTGTGACATTTGCTCACTTCTAATTCAGGCAACACTCTTTACTCACTCTTGCATAAGCAAACAGGGATGTCTCATGCTTTAATTTATCACTTGACCTCTGTCAAAATGTTTTAACAACTAAAACATGATGGGAAATACTACAGGAGAGATTTCTCACGTTCCATTAGCTTTCTCTATGTAATTTTTGTTGTGTCTTTATAATATCACAACTGTGCCCGCGGCTGGCCTGCTCTGAGCGCAGCCCCCCGAGAGCAGCGTGTGCAGCACGGGCAGCGCAGCCACAGCCTCGCCACGGGGACAGAGCATCCCCTGCCCCGGCGCACGCCGACTACTCGGGCGCCGGTCCCGCCGTACTCCGCAGCCTCGGCGCCTGCAGCGCGACGCCGCGGGGTAAACAAAGCTGGAGCGAGGCCGGGAGCGCAGCTCCGGCCCAGGACCCCGCTCCCCGCCGGCGGCCGGAGCACGGGGGCTCCGAGGGGCGGCAGCCGCGATGGGGCAGGGGTGCCGCTCCCAGCCGCGTGTCGGGGGCCCAGCAGCCGACACGACAAAAGCAGCCGTGAAAGGCTGCGAAACCTTCGGCCCCGGGCACGGCCGGCAACAGAGCACCGTGCTGGGGCACGGGTCCCCCGGAGCGGGCTCCCGGCGGGGTCCCCCGGCCGCACAGGTGGCTCCGGGGCGGGGGGCAGCGCCCTCCGCACGGCCCGGCCCGGCCCCCCCGCCTCCTCCCACGCTCCGGCCGCCCCTCACAGACCGCCCGCACCCGTGACCATCGCCCCCGGCCGGCACAACTTGCCCCGGCCCCGCTCGCTCAGCCCCGCCGCCCTCCGAGCCGGAGCGGGCCGGGCCGCCGCCACCGCGCTGCCCTCCTCCACCTCACCTGCCGCAAGGAGGCCTCGCCGGGCGGGCAGGGCACGGGTCCCGGAGGGAGAGCGGACGGGCGTCCCCCGGCGCCGCGAGCAGCGCTCAGGCCGGTCGCGGCCCGCCGGCTCCGGGGCGCTGCGCGTCCGTCCGGCCGCTGGGGGAGCCGCCGCTGCCGCGCCGCCCGGCCGCCATCTTCCGCGGGGAGGGAGCGAGGGAGGGAGGGACGGAGCGAGGGAGGGGCGCGGGGCCCCGCCCGCCTCAGCGCCGGGCTGCCCTCGGGCCGGGGTCCCGCGGCCCGGCCGGGCCCCGCGCTCCAACACGTGGCCGGGGCTTCCCCGCGGCCGCGGGCACCGGCGGTGGCCCAGGGGCTGCCCGGCAGCGCTCCCGGGTGGGATGCCCAGGAAAGCAGTAGGTAGGGATTGCCGCTGCTGTGACATCGCCGGCAGCAGCCTCCCGAGAAACACAAACACGCACGGTGCAATTTGCTACGTTAAAGCGGTGGAGGAAATTGTAGTAGGAAGCCAGAATGGGATGTGAAGCCACATCACAGAAACATTTATTCTCAGGGGAGGCTGGACGAGTGGACAGCAGTCCGGGAGTGCTATTACACGGTCCTGCTTTTGGATCAGCTCTGGAGAAAGGACCCACCGTGCTGCAGAGAGCGAACATGTGGGACAGAATTAACATGACTGGGACCTGGAGCAGTCACAAGCGACAGAAGAAAAGGGAAAGCAAAGGGAAAGCAGGTGCTCAGGGAATAAGGCCTCATGTTGGCAACGTACTGCTTCCCATCCTGCTGTCAGAGGATTGCTGGCATCTTGTGAATAACTCTAAGAAAACCCTCCAAAAGGCAATGCAATATGTAGATTTGCTGTACAGGAACATGCTCCTCTATTAAAAAGTTTGAAAAGCTCAAAAATCATGGTTTATGGACACATTTATAGAGGATTTTTAATCTTCAGCTTATCAATTTGCACCTGAAGCACTGATCAGACTTCTGCAAGCCTGTTAAGCCCATGTTAGCAGGTGAATCAAATAACTGAAGAAAAACAGACAAAGCTATGAGCAATCATATCTTAGCATGCTTCAAAAGCCTGTTCTGCCTCTGGCTGACAGCACCCCCACCTCAGCAGAGGTGGATGAGGCAGCTGCTCCCACCACCTGCAGTCCCATCTCACAGGTCTATGCTGCCAAAATACCCAGCAGCACATATTTAACACGTGATTGCATTTCTGTTGAGTTAACCCAAACACGCGCCACAGTGCTCACATCAGATTAATATCACCCCCTGCCTGCAGCCGTCCCAAAGCTAGCGTGGCAGCAACAGGTGATGCCCAGTCTACCACAGACCTTGCACTTTTCAAAACAGCTGATCAAATCTGAGCCAACAGAGGGACTATGCACTATGTGGCAGCTCAGAACTTTGTGTCATGTGCTTGTAGCATTTATCATCCAGTACTACATTCTGTGAAATGGGATTTACCATTTCAAAGTACAATTTGATAGTCTGGTTAAAAAAAAAAAAAAACTTTCTTCCTCAGTCTAACCTATCTCAGTTACAGTGAGGGAGGGAAATCAGTGACAGGAGGGTATGTTGTACACTATAGTATGCTATACAGGCAGAAGAGTAACAGCTTAAAACTCTAGCTAAATGTGCCATGGAAGAAACTACCCCAATTTTTGCCCCATCTCTCCAAACCCCTCCTCAAACCACTGGCACAGAATCCACCTGCTTTCCTTCTCATTTCACCACAAAACAACTCTCCATCCCACTGACCTCACTGCCTTTCTAGCTACTTCATATGTAACCTCCTCTACTCACCTGCAAGACATCTCCAACCCCATCTTGCATCTCCACTCTCTTCCTCACACTCCAAACCACCCTCAGTGCTTGGCTTTATGACTCCCATCTTCCAGCTTATCATATTGCTCTGTGCTTACCTCACTCAGCATGTGCTATCCCTGGTAACATTGCACTTCACTGAAGCAATTTCTCTTTCTTAAGGCCACATAAACCATCTTTGCCTGGATATTCCATTTAATGGCTCAGGCCTGTTTCTTCCCAAAGGGAAAGTTGAAGTAGAAGATTAAATGTCTTGCTGTTTCTGTTGAGGCTCAACATAGTCTTTGTAATAGGGATGGAAGATTTTTACTGATATTATAACAGATTAGAAGGTGTTAAAACTTGCTAACTTACCATATATAAAACAATTTCAGCATTAATACTTTTTGGAATTAACAAGACTGAAATCTGTTTACAATTCTTAAAAACATTTAAGACTATCTATACCAAGTTTGGACCTTTTTTATACAAGAAAAATATGCTAAATCTAAAGCAAAGAATTTCAAATGCCACTTTAAATAGAACATATCCTTTTACATATAAGTATTTTTTTCAGTTTATTTTGAACTAGACATGTAGCAAGAAAGAAACAAACAAACGTTTCTGGAGCAGGAACAACCAGACGGCAGTGGCACTACTCTGACTCTGATGTAACCTATAGCACGTTCCAATGTAAACAAGCCTCTGAAGCAGAGCCCTGGTGCCATTTCTGCAGGCTGTCCTCTGTTGGTATGAGCACTACTCTTTCCCACAGAAGCACGAAGGAGAAATAAACCATGATGAGACAGTATTTCATTGCAAGTACTGGCCAAAACCCAAGTCTGCCAACATGCAGTCGTATGATGCATTAGTAAAATGGTTTTCTGTGAATAAATGTCATCCTGCCCATCCATTCATAGATAATTATGGTAAAATTATATAAATTGTAACAAATTAGGCACAGCCACCTTTCCCTCTCCCCCATCCGCCAGTGCTTCAGAGGACCCTCTTATAGCACAAGAAACCTTCAGAATGAGATTTTATTAACTTAATTATATCCATCCTTTCCTTGTAGCTAGTCTGCCTTAAAAACCACAAACATATGCATTTTTGTTTTCTAATACTTGTTAAGTACATAAGAATTGGCTTAAAATTCTTTAGAGCACTACACACCAACCAGTAAATTCCTATTCCTTACCAGCAGGCAAAGAGGTGGTGAGGAATTCTGGCAGGTGAGGAGTTCTCAGGCATCAAGGATCTCAAGGGAAAAATTCATAATCCTCCACTCAAGCTGCTTTAAGTGCCCCCAAAGGATCACCTTTCTCTACCCTTAAATAATAAACCCAAATAAACAAGCATTCCAGGTGCATTAATCTGCAGTCCCAAACCTTTCAAATTCTCAGGCAAAAAAAAATCACCTGTGATGTGCAGCAGCAAGACTACCTTAGCTTCTCTGCAGCACTGTTCATCAGTCTCTTACAGCAGTTCTACTGAGGTCAGGCTTATCTGCATGGACAAATGGGAAAGCTGAAGCACAGGGCACATACCTGGCTTATTTGCAGTCACCCTGCAAAGCCATAGCAAACCCAAAACCAGATCACAAATCCAATCATTAGTAAACTGCTCTGTTTGGTTTTCTACATTATCAATTACCCATAAGTAAGAGGTAACAATTTTCATAGTAAAACTGAAAGGATATTGACATTCAGGGTCCAATTCTGCTCATACTCTCCCCACATCTCACAGATACTATAAGCACAGGAGCATTCTGCCAGGCCTCTGTGCCACTAGCCCAGCAAGTGAAAGCAGAGCAATCCTAGTTTAAAAGCAAATCTACTTGGGCATAAATAAAAGCTATCATCAATTACAAGTCTCCCACAGAGTAATCTACCTGTGTATACAATTGTGCATGTGCATAAATTGGAAGGGAACTAAAAAAAAAAACATGTTCAGACACTCGTCTTTGGTAGGGAGATAGCAAAACTTGATCTAATAGGATGAACAGATTTTAAACAGCTATAGCAGAGTGGGAAGTAAGGTTCTGGGACTATCCCTGTTTGCTAGCTCAATACTGGAGCTATTACAATACAGGGAAGTATCATTCCTAATCCCTGCTGACAGCTAAAACATAAGACATAAAAGAGGCCCCATATGTATGCTACACTAAATATTCTTGACCTGTTAGTCTGACTATTTCACTTTCAGCAAGTGTTTAAATTACTCTTATCCTAGTTAAAAGAGTTCCTAAAAACATGGGCTATCACCACTAATTTTATGAGTCCCTTCCTAGTGCTTATTGGCTCATATTGCTACATATCTTCAAAGATCATCAAGACAGGATTGACTGCTTCAGGATAAATCTTACCTGATGAATGCTCCTGCCTCCTATGTCAGAAATGAGAGCAGAACATCTCTTTGCTCCCGAAATTGCAGGAGCCATTTCTTCTGGGCACGAGCAGATTGCCTTTAGTCCCAGTAAAACGGACTATAAAACTCTTACCTTCTCCCTTTAAACACTAAGGACGATTTTTTTCCTCCTGTTTCATCAGGCAGCAAAAGTAATCATCTCTCTAAGCAGCGCCAGCTGACACCTATTTACTGGGTAATTGCTGCAGTTAAAGGGGATTAAGCACAATGAACTCGCTTTCAGCGATAAGGCAAAGCCACCCCGTCCCCTTTGCCACTTCCCAGACACACCTGGGAAGCGCTCAGGGGAACGGAGGCCAGCCAGGCCTGCCAAATGGGGGCCGCACACTGGCTAGAGCCCCTTTGCTGCAGCCAGTGCCAAAAGGAGATGTGTGCCC